ATAGTTGCATTCTCTTAATGAATAGAATGATTTTTTCTAATGGTGTTTGTAAGTAGGATCACAAGTCTGCATCTTGTACAGCAATTAACCACTGAGAAGAATGTATGCAGTGTATTATTTGTTGAAACTGTACTTTCGATTTGATTTGAAACTGTCTCATTGCTATATGTTTATCAATAAAACTTTGAAAAGAAAAAAAAAATATCTATGTAGTGTTCAACCCAACAACAGAATATACTTTCTTCTCAGCAACACAAAGAAGTTTCTGTTATATACTAGTCTACAAAGCATGCTTAATAAATTAAAAAGCACTCAATATTATCTCTGTATGTTATCAGATCACAGTGCAATCATACCAGAAATCAATGGCCAAAGAAAGCACAAACAATGTACTCTTGAATAGTCAATGAGTCACAGAAAAATCAAGGAAGTTAAACAGTTCCTAGAATCAAGCAATAACATCAGTACAACATACCAGAACTTATAAAAACACAGTGAAAGCAGCCCTAAGAGAGAAGTCTATAGTGTGAATGCCCACATCAGAAAAAGACTGAGCCCAAATAAATAACCTAATGATGCAACCCACAGTCCTAGAAAGACAAGAACAACCCAAATAAAAAGCTAGTGCAAGGAGGAAATTATGAAGATTATATAGCTGAAATTGAGACAAAAGAAATAAATCAAAGAATTAACAAATTGAAGAACTAGTTTTTTAAAAAATAACAAAATACTCTTAGCCAGCCTTACCAAAAGAAGAAAAGACCCAACTGAATGCAATTAGAAAAAAGGGAGAATCACAATAGACACCACTGAAATCCAGATTATTAGTATCGAGTTCAAAAACCCCAAGTCCAATAAATTGGAGAATCCAGAAGAAATACATAGATTCCCAGATACATGTGAATTACCAAAACTGAACCAAGAAGATATAAAAACCTTGAAAATCCAATAACGGGCAATGAAATTCAGGCAGTAATAATAATAAAGAAAAACTACAAATTAAGAAAATCCCAGGACTTGATAGATTCACCACTGAATTCTTTAAGAATTTCATGGAAGTGGGGGCTGGGGAAATATCTCAGTGGAATAAGCACTTGCCTGGCAAGTGAAAGGACCTGAGTTCTATCCCTGGTTCTGGAAAAAAAAAAAAAAAAATCCCGCAAAAAAAAAAAAAAAAAAAAAAAAAAAAAAAAAAAAAAAAAAAAAAAAAAGTGAGAAAGGGTTATAAGAGTGTGGGGCTTATAAAGCCCTAACATATTTATAAATACCAAAATA